GTCATTTTTGATTTGATGCAAATTTATCTCCCTCGCCATATGCGCATTCGATCCCCCTTCACAGAGGATTTACTCGAGCTTTTACGCAACAGCAGTTACGCCGTTTTGGTTCAATCTTTTGCCGCTACCTATTTTTCTTGATCACGTATCTTTTTTTTTTTGTTCCTGGTCATGTACAGTTACCCTCATACACCGGTTTAAATCTACTTAACTAATTAGTACTTATTTCTTTCTTAGTTCGTTGAGCACCACTTGAGCGGTGAAGTTTACTGCTCGTGGCTATATTGGTTTGGTCTATTCACTTGAGCGGTGAAGTTTACTGCTCCTAAACAACTAGGTTCAACTAATGGCTCAACGACCACATAATTTTTTTTATTTTTATTTACCTCCTTCAGCAAACCACACCAGTTTTTACAAAAAAAAAAAAGAAAGAAAAAGGGCTTATTTACTCCCCCTATTTAGTCACCACGACATTTTCGTGTTTTATGTTAGCAACTTTAACCATATATCCGCGTAAGAATGAATCCACTTATCTAACCGCATATTCATAACTCTTTTGGGAGCTGGGGACAGCTCTGTCTAAGTAGGGAGAATTTGTTAAATGATAAAATTACAATTATAGTTAATCTATAATATCGTAAGGGTTTTCTGTATTGGTGTTAGAAAGAAAAGGAATGGAAATAATAATATTATTCTAAGTCATTTAATGTAAATTATAAAAAGGGCAGGTTGATTACTTCGTACGCCTTCTTGGTGGTCTTATTTGTTTGTGATCGTGAAGTTGACATGGAACTTGTGATAGGCCTTGTTCTTAAATAAGTTAATTTGTTAGTCCAGGAAGAGTAAATCTCCCTAGTAATAGGTCGCGTTCGACACCTTGGTGGTGGTTTTCTCATAAGATACACTTTTAGGTATAAATAACACTCTACAACAAGGTTATTTGTAATTTTTATATTGTCGATCTCGTTTCTGTTCTGGCCGATCTCAACCGTAAAGATATGAAAATTAGGGAAGAAATTGATTTTGTAACTGCGTAGACAACCCTAAGGTGCTTGCTCAGTATGTGGGAACTAAAATACGTAGTCAAGCATGATTCGCTAGTTGAGATGGTACGATGACAACACAAGAAGATTGACGGCTTAGAAATGTAATCCGCAGTGACACCTTTATAAGCGGAGACTCTAGTTTTCCCTGATATATTGAAGCTAGTCCCCATTGTAACAACTTGAGAAGAGAAGCAAATAAAGAGGGATCAACCAGACCACAAACGAGTGTTAGAGAAACCAATTCTAACAATAAGGTGCACTAACAGATGAGCTTCTCAGGGACAGGCTCGTCATTGGCATAAAGAGTCAAGGTCACAAAGTTGAGACTCCTAAGAGAAAAATCTCTGGACTTCAAGAAAGCTATACAGATGTACATTATGAGTGAAATCACCACGCAGCAAATCAAGATGATCATAGTAAGACGTCATAGTGAGAAGAGAGATGGAAGAAGATTGTCGAATTTAGAGAAGAAATCAGAAAAGAGTAGACCCCAAGGTCCTACCGAACCGACTACTGCACTAACACTGCGGTCGTAAACAACTTCATCAAAGAAGAACAGAGGTACCTGGGTTCAAGAAAATGTGCAGTAAGTGTCAAAAATCAACAATTAAAAGAACACAAAGATGACAGTTCTGATGAAAGCAGTTTGCAAGTGGAAGCTGTATCTCTAGTCCAAACTAAAGCAAACCAGTGGCTTGCAGAGATCAGTATCTTCAAATCGGCTAAAGAAGACTTCACAACAACCTTGACATGTCTATTACATGCTGGAGTTATAAGTAATGTAATAAGCTTGGATGACCTCTCAGTTATCACCCAGTTAGGAGATCCACCCATGAACACCTCCTCAGTTAAGCTGAAGCTATTTAGTAGTATGACATTAAAGCCAGTTGGTGAGTGCAACTGAAGCTTCAAGTCATAACATACAAATGTAAGCACTTGCTATAAGCAGAAAACTGTGAAAAGATACAACTCATCCTCCTAAAAGTCTGCGTCTCCGAGAATGTACACCAGATATGTGAGATCCCACCACGAAAATGTCTTTCAAAGGAAGAACTGTTCGCGTGATCATAATGACGATCGAAGAAAGGAAAGAAAAGTTTATACCATTGCGAGCAATCCGAGGAACTCAGCGTTCCATTGTAACGAAAAATGTGACAAAGGTTAGCAACATTGTGGAGGACGAAACACTTACAACCAGCGTGCAAGTTCAACATTTAGAAGTTGTAAGTCGATTGACGGAAACGAAACTCTCATTTCTTGGAGACAACGATCAAGAGAGCCTATACCACAAAAAATAGATAGAAAGACATGTGGAGAAGATTATCACATGCCAGAACAAAATAAACGATACTTCTCAACAGACCAACGGGACTACTCAAGAAACTATCAATCCACTCGCAGGATTAATTCAAACGCTTCCTGGAGGCATACTACAGCAACCTATCAATCAGTTCAAGGCGAAATTACCGAAACTAATCCTTCCTAAATTTCGTGATGACGTAACGACCTGGACAGGATTTTGGGATTCATACCAGACCGCAGTTCACGACAACGAAAACATTTCAAAAATAGACAAGTTTAACTACTTCATATCACTTTTGGAAGGTGCCGCAAGTCAAGCCATTCAGGCTCTATCAAGCTTCAACTACGATTCAGCAGTGGAAATTCTCGAACAACGATTTGGAAGACCGCAACAGATAATTTCCGCGCACATGGACGAGATCCTCAAACTCCAACCCTGTACAAGTGATCGCCCATTGCCTCTTCGGTTTCTCTACAATAAGTCGAGTGTAAATGTGCTAGGATTATCTTCACTCGGAGTTACAGCACAGGAGTATGGCAGTCTATTAATACCGATTATCATGTCTAAGCTAACAAACGAAATAAGGCTTGAAATCGCGCGAAAATCAACCGCTAATGTGTGGAAAATCGAGGAATTGTTAGAAACCATCAAGAGTGAAATCGAGGCGAGAGAATTAAGAGAAACGATCAAAGCTCAAGAAGTTCAAGGACGGAAACACAACCATGGTTTGGGAAAGTTGCCCTCAACTGCGAATACGCCGGCGACTGTGCTTCTCAAGAACGAAGCAATGTGAAGAAAGGTTAATATAAGTAAAAACTGGATTCCACTCCTCAACCATTTGGAGCCCAGTGTTTAATATATCGCACAGCTTTTACACTTTTGTGCTGCTTGTGATAATGTTGATCATGACATTCTTCTCTCTCGTTTGATGGGCTGGAAAGGAAGCAATTTGACTTTGCATCTGCCTTGCAGCATTAGAGAAAGAAGGATAGGAGGATCGGATCAATATCAGTATCTGGGCAACTGCCCACCTGCCCCTCCCCTAACCCAACAACAGTCAATTGATAACAAGTTAGGGTTAATGTTGGGTTAGGGGATGGGTAGGTGGGCAGTTGCCCAGATACTAATATTGATCTGGAGGATCTTAACAAGCTAACTCAGGAAAAATCTTTCCATTTAATGAAAACATAATTTGAGGTTAATAGTTACAAGGGATCAGAAAGCATGAAATGAAAAAAGTGTTTGGCATTTTTTGGCGTCGTTTACTAAGGATGGGTGTGTCATTTTTTAAAAGAACGATTCAGCTTTATGATTATTTTACTGTTTACTGCTATAAACATATCAAAACTGTGAAGAAAAAACCATAACATGCTGGTGATAGTTTGGATGTCAGTTTTTTCGAAGTTTCAGTATCATAGTTTGACCCCAAACCATTTTTGAAATGACCCAATTTAAAATGTCACGAGGGACATAATTATGACCCATTTTGACTAAATTCTAGATTGCACACTGCTCTTAGATGTGGAGTTCCATAAGGATCTGTTTTAAGACCCATTTTATATTTTTTTAACAAGTCACCACATTGTTGGGAAATTCAATTTGAGCTATCGTTTTTATGCTGATGATTCACAACTTTATTTGTCCTTCGAGCCAACTATACCTGGTGATAAGGATGTCTAACATAAAGAGCTGTGTGAATCACTGGATGCTGGTTAACCACCTTTAATTAAATAACGACAAGACTGAATTACTGGCATTCTGTGTTAAATATTTTTTAAAGGAGAACTGAAGTCCAAATTCATGTAATTTTTTTCACCGTATATCGTACATTTATGTATGATGGAACAAATTTCCGTCATTTTTTTTCCCTCCAACGACAGTTTTCATCCAGAAAACGAAGGGTTTTTAGTGATAATTGGCTCGACATTTGACTGTGGTACGTCGGCTCAGAACACCAATGTCAGCGGTTCTTTTTGTACCGTGTGACGTAGGATATGGGGATGAAGGTAAACACAGCAAGAAACAGGCAAGTTGAATTCAGGACTGCGGCTTGCTCGCGGGAAAGAATTTGTGGTTTTCCAGGAGTAAAGATTGTGCAAGGTGAAGCAAAAAATGATTCAAGCGCCTCTCATATAAGAAAATTGGTCTTCTATCCAGGGATTGTGTAAGAGAAAAATATTTTGGCTTTCGTAACCCTGTGTCTCTGAAACGTAGTTACGTGTCCAGATCATGTGCGGCGCATCTTTTATACTTGGATTGACCTCGATGTTTTCGGAATAGGGTCTCCACTTTAATTTTTCTTGCATACTGGTAATTTAAGATATTTCATCTTCCATTCTGTTTCCCATATTTTGTTATTTACCTTTTTTAACATTAGTTTGCAACGCGTTTGTAGTCTGGATTTTGCAATGGCATGTACGATAACGCACGCTGTTAACAATGTCGCAAGAAGTCCAAAAGGAAATAAAATTTTGAAATTCGTGTTGAACTTTGGTTTATAAGTTCTCTATAATGGGTTAAATTCTTGGCTTACGCAAGAAAGGATGTACAAATACGGAAGCCCGAGTTGTTTGAGTTTATTCTTCTATCTGTTCTTGGCGGTTGAGTAGTTCTCGTTGCTATATTTACTTCGATTACTTTCGAGCTAAAAAATGGTATACTGCGCGGTGTTCGGTTGTAACAACGACTCCAGGTACACAACTGGTATATCCTACCATTGCTTTCCGAGCGATAAAGCTCTACGATCACAGTGGCTGGCAAAGATTTCACAAGCGGATCTGGTCGTTTTGAAAAACTCCAGGCTGTGCTCAGAACATTTTACACCTGACTGCTACGAACGAGACTTGAAAGCAGAAATTCTTGGTTTGAAACCCAGATCTACGCTAAAACCAGGTGCAATACCCACGGTTTTTTCGCATCGGAGACCATAAAAGACCTCGACTTTCATTGGAGAAACGTTCAGAGCAGAAAGTCCGAAAAGAAGTAAGTGCATCACGAATTACTCTCTTGTAACTGGGTTGGGTTGTTGCAAAGCTTGGGTTGTTGCAAACTCTTGAAGCTGCTCATCATTTATGCATGATTGATAAAAAAAAATTGAAAGGTGAATGCAGTTTGGGGGCAATAACAATTTATATCTTAAAGGATATCGACCGAATAGGTTCCATTGAGAAACATTAAATTTTCACAGAAAAGTATTTCTTCTCCTTACGCAAAAACAACATCCTGCCATGGAATTCCTTCTAGTTTCATGGTTTTTTTTCTGAGTAATCTTTGTACTTCGTCTCTTCTGAAAATTTTTGACCAGTAGGTAAACAAAATTAAATTGTTTCAGAATAAAGTGATTATTTTTTAATTATAGGAACATTACACCTGTCCCTTGTTAACTAGCAGGTGAACAAAATTAGTACAAATAGACTATATATAAGTTGTGGATATTATTCTTTAAATAATGAATTCTTTTAACCTTCTTTACTTCTATGTGGATAAAAACTTAATACAACTGGAAATTCTAAGTTGAAACCAGTGCAGGCTTTCAACCAAAGGAGGGCAGGGTCAGGTGTTATATTTTCCAAGAAAATCCCATCGAATCATTGTGTAACCATATAGTAGCATAGTTTATCCCCCATACCCACATTTTTCATTCTCTCAAAGGGTCACTAACCCATACCATAACAGAGTTAATATTTTTTCTGTTATAGTATATAGCCTCTATAACTGCACAACCTAGTTGTGGAATCGAAGAACATGCAGCTTCAGCTTTAGAACAGCCTGCACCTGTTGATGTAGTGAATTGTGGAGCAAGTACATCAACCTCAGACAGCCCATCATATCCATTCCCACATGATTTAGGGCCTAAAAGCACGTTGGTTGAGTCAAGCAGTGCAGGTGAATTTGCCAAACAAGGGTGTGGATTTTGGGATCCAAGTCAATCTTCGTGGTCTCCATTTAATGATGAAATCTACTGACACCCAAGTCGAGGTTGATGTTTCAGGAAGCAGCACCCAGACTGAAGAGGTATTCCTTCCTGAAATTGAAGATAACAAGGAAGAAGCAACTGAAGCTGCTGCTTCCCCAGAAGTCTCTCCAAGAAAAGATGGCATCTACCTTCCCACAAAACAGGAAGATTCAGATGATTCGAACTTGTCAGGATCAGACAACGAACACCAAGGGGAAACAAAATGCGAAAAGCCACAGGATGATACCAAATACATTGTATTTAAACAAGAGCTATTTAAATTGTTTAAGTACTGTCCTGAGTGTGGTGCAGTTGTGATTAAGAGGAACCAATCCACACAAGGAAGCCAATTATTTGTCACCCTAGAATGTATGAATAATCATAAGTACTCCTAGCAAAGCCAGCCAATGCTTGAGGGGATGGCAGCTGGAAATTTGTTGCTGTCATCATCTATTTTGCTCAGTGGCTCTACCTTTACAAAAGTAGCATCTTTGGCAGATATCTTAAATTTGAAAATTTTCAGTGAGAAAACATTTTATAATATTCAAAACAAGTACTTATTACCCGTAATCAATGAGTTCTGGCTTAAAGAACAAAATTCCACTTTTTCTGAGCTAGGGGGGCGAGATCTGTGGCTTTCAGGGGATGGGCGTTGTGACAGTCCTGGCCATAATGCAAAATATGGGACATATACCATGATTAATCAGAAAACTGATAAGATTGTTGACTTCAAGGTTTTTCAGGTCAGTGAAGTAAATAATAGCAATGCCATGGAAAGAGAGGGTTTTAAACGCTGTATGGAAAACATCTATGAAAAAGGGGGGAAAATTATGGTTGTTGCAACTGACCGTCATGTGGGCATTAAGGCTGACATGAAAACAAATTTCCCTGAAGTTGATCATCAATTTGATGTGTGGCACCTTTCCAAGAGTATAACTAAAAAGTTAACTGAAAAAGAAGAAAGAATGTGCTGATCTCTCTCTCTCTGGATCAGATTCATCTCAAACCACCTTTGGTGGTGTGCCAAAACATGTGGGGGAGACAAGGAGATGTTGAGAGAGAAGTGGATATCCATTGTCTATCACACTGCCAATATCCACTCCTGGGATTCAGCTGACCTGTATGAGGAATGTGCCCACCAACCAATCCCTCCAGCTATCGCAAGAACTAAAAGGTGGCTTAGGCCTGGCTCCTCTGCTCATAATGCATTGAAGGAGGTTGTATTCGATAAAAATCTGTTGAAGGACATTCAGCAACTAACACTAAGTTGTCATACTGGCAATTTAGAGGTGTATGCACCCAAACGGCAGCACTTCTCTTATAATGGCATGATTGCTCGAACTCAGTTGGCAGCCCTAGACCATAATGCCAACACTGGTAGACAACAAGCCACTGTATCCAGGGGTGCCAACCAAGGGGAGCTGCAATACAAGGTAGTGTTTCCAAAATATACAAAAGAATGGGTGGCAAAGCCCATATTTGAGAAGACAACCAATTATCATCTCAAGCCAATGCTTAATGCCATTGTAGAGAGAAAATGCTTAAAACCACAAGAGAGGAGTGCAACAGTCACAGCACCACACATTCCTGAAAACATTGCCAGCAAACCCCGGCCTCCTAAAGCAGATGTCATTGCTAATCATACTTCGAGATTTTCGAATAATTAGATACAACAACTTTGTCAATAACACAATCAAATGAAAATAAAAGCAATCATCGTAGCAAAAAGCAATCAAAGTTAGGTTTGAGGTTTATTTCATTCAGGCCACGCAGCTATCCCTAGTAATTAAATTAATCCATTTAAAAACAAAGCAAAATTAATAAATGCATGGATTGTACGTTAAACTCTTAAGCTTAGTAAACAAAAATAAGCGAAAAATAACAAGTCGAAACAAAATCTTGTATTTATCCCGTTTAAATTGTGACTGTTATTTAATGATGTCTCATGTAGGATATTGTCTATTCAATTTCATACAGATCTTGAGAGGTTCGCCAGAGCTCTTGATCGTCGTAGAGGAAAAAATTGAATAAGTTGTGCTGCCAAGTTACGTGGAAGCAACATGCACGCTTTTTTTATAATTGTTGATCATAGTATACCATAAATTCTCGCTTTTAATCGCCTTCGTAAGTATGAACACTCAAATATGTCTTATCTACCAATGTAAATTATCTTCAAACTGGTAAATTTTAGCAACGTTTGTTACTATGTTCATGTACCTTCTCGTAAGGTATTATCTAGATGGAATGGACCCTCTGTACAGGTCTAAAACATAGAGACCGATATCAACTTTTAGAAATTACAATGGGTAATGCAAGCGCAAGTGTGGCAGCTGTCTCTGCATTTATGAGGCACAAGTTGTTCGCAGCCACTGATGGCCACATTGACCATTTTACGGACCGTCTGGTAGAGATGGCTGATGATCAAGAGCTAGATCAGATGGCCTTGATGTCCTACTCCCTCCTGGTTTTTGTATGCAAAATGGTGAGTATAGGAATATAAAGTGGGACAAAGAAAGTTGGCCACACTGAATGAAAGCCATCTGTTCTATATGCGACACCTCAGTTCTGATGTTTAGTGATTAGATTAATCAATTTGAAACAAAGCAAAATTAGTAAGTGCATGGATAGGAAGTTAGACCCTTAAGCTTTGTAAACAAAAATAAGTGAAAAATAATAAGTCAAAACAAAATCTTGCATTTATCCCGTTTAAATCGTGACTGTAATTTAATGATTTTTCACGTAAGATGTTGTCTATTCGATTTCAAGCAGATTCTTGAGAAGCCAGGCTTGCCAGACCTCTTGATCCTCGTAGAGGTAAAAATTGAAAAAGTTGTGCTTCCAAGTTACGTGAAAGTATCCCGTGTCACTGCAACATCTTTTCAGTTGCCAAAGGAAGTTTGCAATGACAATGACAACGACAAAGCGTTGAAGAATTTCTTCGCATCAATTCTGCTTTCAATGTTCAAACCTTAAGTATTGATAACATTACTAATAGCTACAAACATACATGTATATCTACATATGTATATATATTTGTAATTTTCTTAATAAGTTTCTTTCTTGTGTTCCATTTACGTCATTGCTTTGTTTCTAACAGTCCCCTCCACAGCTCGTATTTCAGTCAATTGCATGTTTTAGAATAAGTAGAATCAAACAATACGACATTGAATAAGTTTGTCTCTTAGCTTTTTTTGAGATTTGGAAGTTTTACTGTGTGGATTAGATATGTAAGTAATCATTTGGTTTTTTTTTTGTGAACATATTTGTTGATTTAGTCTATAAGTTTTTTATTTCTATGTCCCCTCGTGGGCATACATGTGTACATTTTTGTGACAATTTCGCATATTCCTCTTTTTACAATAGTATGGATATTTCAGTTACCTTTCTATACTAATTTTACCTTCATCAAAAGTCAATACAAAGGCATTTTATTTAGGTTGAGAGATGTATTTGTCAAGTGTTCTCCATGCAACAATAAGATTCTTCACGCGTGGTTTTCTTCCCCCAAAATGCACTACCTTTTACTTTGTCATTAGGCCTTTCCTAAACAAGTATGTTTTATTGTCTTTTGTTTCGATCACTACTCATTTTTAATTGATTTCTCTGATGAATTGGTTTCATTTAGTTGTAATTGTTTTTACTTTATGAGAAACACTGAGCACTAGTGAGGGAATAAATTCAAGTCTGGCTCTTTCATTGCCGGCAAGTCTTTGTTACTCTGTCGTCTCAAATATCCCCTCATTAGCCCGCGACAAGTTCTGAGCTTCATTTGGTGACAACCATGACCATCGCTTTGCTTCAAAATATATGTGTGTGTGTGTGTGCACAGTTTTTTTTTTTTAAATATCGTAAAATTTGGCGGACCATAATTATTATTTTGGAACCTCATCCAAAATCAGCCACTGCTGAAAACAATTTACAAAACGCCTCCGACTATATCATACAAAAGAGGTAAATCGCTCAAAGACATACTCGTCAGAGTGAAGCTTTAATTAAAGGCTTTTGCGTCGCAAACGTAAAACCACACAGGGGAGTCTGTGTAGGCCTGTCTATGACCTTTTCAAGCCGAAGAACAATGCGTTAGCGCCTTAGTGCGCTTCCATCAGCGTAGACTTGTTAGTCACAAGAACAAACTTGAAACGGCTAATATTGCCAAGTCTCGATCACAATACAATGTAAATGCACGTGAAAGATCACGTTCGCCCTTGAGGAACACTGTAAATACTGATGCCGACAGGATAGACAAAATAGAAAATCAGCTTTCAGAGCTGAAAGATCTTATATGTACACGCTTTCAGAGTGATAATAAACATGTTGAAAAGTACAACAGTGTCATCTCTGAAAAATCAGTCGCCAAACCCACTGCAGCAAAACGGCTATCCAAGAATAATAAACGCAAAAAGCGTAGAAAAAATACACTACACAAGCGAGTGACTACAGAAAGGGAGAAAAATGAAAAATACCTTAAAAACCTTTCAGACAATACATTAACTGATCACCAAGTCAGCGTGTTAGCAAAAGGGCTTAAATTTATTGAAACACCCGTGACAAATGAAAATAAGATCAGGCAACAATTGTTGCGTGACTTCGAACAATTCGCTAGGCGAATGAGACTTAGATATATATTCCACGGGAATGACAAGGAACCACATCCTTTCCACGTCAAATCAAACTGGATACCACCAGTACAACCTTCTATTGCCCTTGAACGCTACTTCGAAAATATCAAGTTAAGCCTTGCTGAAATAGAAATAACAAAGCCAAAACACAACCTGTCATACAACGAACACAAAGCAGTCAAAGAACTGCAAAACAATACTGCCATCAACCTTAAACGTGCTGACAAAGGCACCACAACAGTGATTCTCAACAAGAGGGACAAAATTCAAGAGGCCCAGGTTCAGCTCGACAACAGAGACCACTACCGACCTCTTGAAAACCCCATGGTCACTGACACATTAAAAAAAGTTAATGAGCTTATTGCTCAACTGCACAATGGCAAACATTTAGACGATATGACAAAAAAGTGGCTTTCACAGACTCCCAATCCGCCCAGAATACCGATTTTCTACACTTTAACAAAAATCCACAAACCTTTGCCAGTGGGTAGACCAATTATATATATATATATATTATATATTATATCTGCGGAGGACCAACTGAAAGGATATCATCCTTTGTGGATCATTTATTACAGCCTATTGCTCAAAAGCAAAAATCGTATCTCAAAGATACGACTGATTTCATCAACTTTATAGAGAAAACGCAAGTGTCAAATGATACTATTTTAGTATCAATGGATGTAACAAGCTTGTACACAAACATCCCACAAGAAGAGGGTATCACAATAGTATGCCAAGCATACGAAAAATACCACAATAACAACCCTCCCATTCCGTCCCACTACTTAAAACAAATGCTCGGGCTTATACTGAAAGAAAATTCGCTCCAGTTCAACGGAGTAAACTATCTCCAATGTTTTGGAACTGCCATGGGAACACGAATGGCGGTTGCTTTCGCCAATCTCTTTATGGCAGAAATTGAAACAAAACTGCTTCACCAAAGCAGTATCAAGCCGAGAGTATGGAAGCGTTACATTGACGACGTTTTCTCCCTGTGGGATGTTCGTAAACAAGACATTGATCTATTCATAGAACAAGCTAACACGTTCCATCCAACTATAAAGTTCACGGCTGAAATCTCAGAGACTGAAATCACATTCTTAGACACGGTTGTCTACAAAGGTGAAAGATTCCAAAACGAAGCTATCCTCGACGTCAAAACTCACTACAAACCGACCGAGACCTTTCAATATACACACTATTCATCTTGCCACCCGCCAGGTGTTAAGACAGGCTTTATTAAAGGAGAAGCTATCAGACTTCTAAGAACAAACTCCTCGGAAAGAAATTTCCAGGAGGCCATGTGTAACTTCAAAACACGACTTGAAGCACGTGGTTACCCAAAAAGCCTAATTGAAAAAACGTTATCTGAGGTCTCGTTTGCCGCAAGGCAGTCGACACTTAAAAAACAAACCAAAAAAACTACAGGCAAAATATTGCCTTTTGTGACAGCATACCACCCAGGGGTTAAAAATTTAAAACAAATACTGATGCAAGAATGGAACCTCATCCAAAATCAGCCACTGCTGAAAACAATTTACAAAACGCCTCCGATTATATCATATAAAAAAAAGGTAAATCGCTCAAAGACATACTCGTCAGAGCGAAGCTTTAATTAAAGGCTTTTGCGTCGCAAACGTAAAACCACACAGGGGAGTCTGTGTAGGCCTGTCTATGACCTTTTCAATCCAAAATATATATGTGTGTGTGTGTGTGTGCACAGTTTTTTTTTTTTAAATATCGTAAAATTTGGCGGACCATAATTATTATTTTGGCTTCCTAATCAGGTGGCTCACTTTGTCAATAACAGAATATAGCCCTCTCGATGTGGTTGTGGGGAAGCTGTTGCTTATAATGTGCCTTGCTTAGCTTGGCACATTAAGGTTACTGGTATCAACCCAGTGATAACTGATGCCACAATACGGCATTTCATTACCTCAAAAGTAATAGGTTGCGTAGAGAGGTCAATTCAGTTTTGGAGCCGAACAAAAAGCTCACGAAAAAACCCAAGCTCTAAGCTCACAGATGGGCTGAATGACGAAAAATCTTTGTGCTTGGCTCATAACTTGGCAAGGTCAAAGACTTGCTTAAGAAAGGAGTTAACTTGTCTGCTACTTTTGATACTATTTATTATGATATTCTGCTCTCTCGTTTTTTGGTATAACTGGTGAGCCTCTAATATGGTTACTGTACCCGTCTGATCTTATGAAATATGTTTCTGTTGATGGTAGTTCCTCTGTGAAACATCCTCTTAGATGTGGAATTCCACAAGGATCTGCTTTAGGACCCATTTTACATCTTCTTTATATGTCACCTCTTTCAGACATCAAAGGATATTCAATTTGAGCTAACACTTCTATGCTGATGTTTCACACCTATTTGTCCATCCAGCCAACTATACCTAGTGATAGGGATCTAGCTGTGTCTAACATGGAGAGCTGTGCGAATGATATTGATCACTGGATGCTGATAAATCGCCCTAAATATAAATGAAGACAAGACCGGCCTATTGACAATCTCTGCCAAACATCTTAAGACCACTTCTTCGAGATATCTCAGTTGTGAAGAAACCATTCACTCCTTGCAGAAAGCGAGGAATATTTGTGCAATATTTGATGGTCATTTTTGTTTCTATGAACATGTTGCTAATATTTACAACTCTTTGTTTATCATCTCCAAAACATCAACTACATCAAGAAGTACCTAACGTTGACCATCAATGAACTAAATGTTCATGTATTTGAGTCTTCAAAGTTGGATCACTGCAGCGCTTAAATTTTATGGCCTACCTCAAGTGCTGCTACTTGACTCATCACACTTACAAGAAAGCATGACCACATTAAATCCATTCTTTTTAGTCTTTATCAGCTTTCAGTGAATCATTGCATAATTTTAAAATTTTATTCATAACCCACAAGGCACTCAACAACTTGGCACCATTGTACATTCGAAATATGCTTACACCCTACAATCCATTGGGTTAATTACGTTAATCATTTAAAATTTAGTTATTTAGATTTTACTTGTTTTCATTTTCACCTTTAAATACTCTTAATGTCTTACTTTAGGCCACCTCTACTTTGTTATGAATATGCCTCCACCTGGAAATGAGAAATCTTTCCACAGCAAATTGGCAACAAATGGCAAAAGAGGGGCTAATTGTCACACAGGGTTGTGTCACAATGTGGAGGCCCCTAAGCCAAGGATGTAAACAGTGGAAGCCTCACGACCACATGGATGAGACTTTTCTGGGAAATCAGACATGGTTATTGCTAGGCTAAAGCCTGAATGTTAGACTAAGTGAGGATGATTTACTGCGGAAGTGTCTACATGGCTAGAAAGAGAGGCAAAACCGTGAACATTGAAACATATTCCTTGCCGATTGAAAATGTTATGAAAAACTACACATAGCCCACGCGAAAACCACTTAACACTCCTTACAACTCAAAAGAACAAGCTCAATCTAAAGGTGAAAGACTGTAGCTCTCCTGTTTTTGATAGTGCAACACTGATAACTGGTCACTTTAGAGATGTGGCTAGTCATCTAAAGAAAATAAATCTACACGTGATCTAACTGAACTGCTTGCTCCACAAGCCTACACCGAAGTACAACAGCAGCTTACATCAAATATTAGCAATAGGTTGGCTTTGTCAGATGACCAGTTTTGCGGCGAGAGTCATCACCAGAGTGTCCATTTTCACATAACCACCAAAAGTAAATGAAGCTTTTTTTTGTTCACCATTCCTTATCAACACATTTTGAAAGATTCAAAAAGCCCTCAGAGCATTAAAACAATACGGTAGCCACACAGTTACCTATGACCATCACTGACCATCAAAATTTCGCAATAGCTGTAAGGTAAGAAATGAGAAGCAGAAGCCATTCAAAGTATTAACAGTTTGTTCCTTTCATTCATGTTTCATCTTCTTAGTTACTACATTAGTCTAAAACACATCTCTAAAGAAACAACTGTGAAATTTCTTCAACAGTAACAAAGTAAATTATTGAAAAGAAGATTCTGACAGTTTATAGTAATACTTTATGAGTTTAAATCAAATATTAGCAATAGGTTGGCTTTGTCAGATGACCAGTTTTGTGGCGAGAGTCATCACCAGAGAGTCCTTTTCAAAGCAAGTGTTCAAGTCAAATAAAATTATAGAAAAAACCACCAAAAGTAAATTTAGCTTTTTTTGTTCACCATTCCTTACCAACACCTTTTGAAAGATTCAAAAAGCCCTAAGAGCATTAACCCCAATACAGCAGCCACACAGTTACCTATGACCATCATTGTGACCATCAAATTTTCACAATAGCTGTAAGGTAAGAGATGAGAAGCAGAAGCCATTCAAAGCATTAACAGTTTGTTCCTTATATTTATGTTTCATCTTCCTAGTTACTAAATTAATCTAAAACATATCTCTAAAGAAACAACTGTGAAATTTCTTCAACAACAGAAACACAAAGTAAATTTTTAAAAAGAAGATTCTGACAGTTTCTAGTAATACTTTACGAGTTTAGGTGTATTTATTTATCAAGAGAGGCTTATGTTGCTGATTTTAAAACATGTACAAACAACCGCAGTTACTAATTTAACATATCAAACTATAGGACAATCAAGGAAAGCACCAGGAATGTATCGTTACACAGTCTAGCAAGTTTAAAATATAAATACCTTACATTTCCTTCAACATCATGAATGTATCCTAACTGAAGTATGTAAGCGACTCTAATTGCCCCATGATGCAGTCCGTTACATAGCAGTCTACAGACATGTTGCTGGGTGGATGTAGCTATTCACCATTCAGTTTGATCACATTCAATAATTAAAATTTCTTTTCACAAGAGAAAGAGAAAGCAAAACAGAAAGCCAACTAACACTAATTTTCTTAGAATAAAGAAGGCCATATGAGACACCACCACAAGCTCTGCCTGTTAAAGAAATACATCATCCATGACCCGTGCTCGACTTTTTTTGACAGAATTGTCAGTGTGGTGAGCTGCTTTACTTTGGGAAAACTTTTTGGACAGGATTACATGCATTGCAAAACTGCAAGTAATCATCAGTTCCAACCTCACCCTAAATACTATACAAACAACTGACAATTCTATAATGGTTTAGTTTTCATCATAAATGAAAAATCTCTGCTAGCACTATTTCCCAGAGTGCTACCCTATTTTTGTTGCCAAACCTTACCATCTTCTGAGCAATGTAACTTTTAAGCCACTAGCTTGTAAATTTGATTTAGCCAACTTTTTAGCAAATTTTAACAGTTAAACATAACTTTTATTTTGCTAAACAAAATATAAAATAATCGTAATAATAGAATAAATAAAGACTATTGTTTAGTTAAGATATCGATGTAACCAGATTTAAAATATTCTTGTGGCAATTCTCTGCAACCTTACAGGAAGTGACTAACCATTGTTCTGATGTTACTGTTTAGGGTTTCAAATAAGCTCTAATGATTTCATTCCAGAACGATCACAAGATGAGAGTGATAAGGAACCTTACTGTCCATGATGCAATAGCTGGTATCTCTTAATTGGTCTTGGAGATATACTCCAACATCAAAGAACTGTTTGTTGCTGGAGACAGTTAAGTGACTATAGATGACATCAAGGGTTTTCTACAGTTCCTTCCAAATTTGGGACAAGAAGAAATTTTCCTCAAAGAATATTTGAATACAACTTAAATTGGGCTAGGTGTCATCAACATAGAGCTCAACAATATCAAATTTATCCACTCATCCACATGTTCATTTCATGTAACAATACATAGGTCCTTCCCAGACCAAGGTAAGTTTTCACTCAGGCTATCTAGGAATCAATGGGAAAAGCCTTTTCTGGCCTTGTTTAATTTCCATAGGTACTGCTGTGAGATGGCTTCCAGCTTTTTGAGGTATAATACAGTTTGTCTTATTGTAGTGTGTATTTCAATGTAAATCTGTAACCACAACTAGCCATTTCACTGCCATTGCTGTTTAAGTTTTCCAATTAGTCCTCATTATTTCACTGCTCATTCACCTGTTAGATTTCTGAAGATGTCACCAATCTTGATTATGACTTCAATTAAGAAGTGGCTGTGTACTTCCCATAAAATTAAAAGTGAGCAGGGCAAGGATTGTTTCCTTGAGTTTCTCTTTTGTCAAAATGATTAATGAACAAATTAAGAAACCATGTTCTCTAACTAATTAACAATAAGTTGCAGTCCACCTAGTCTTTGCCACTAGTTCAACATGTGTAACACATACAGAACCTATCCTTCTCATCCACAAGTTCATTTTGTATAACATTTCAAAGATCCATCCCTGACCAAAGTAAATATTCCTCTTCACTCAAGGCTGTGTGTGAGAACAATGGAATAGCCTTTTCTAGCCTTGTTTTCTTTCCATAGGTATTGCTGTATGGTGGATTCCAGCTTTTGCAGATAATAGTGCAGTTTGTTTTGTTCTGATGTTTTTATTCTCATTTCTTTTATTTTAATTTGAAATTAATGTAATATGCAATGTAATGTACTTTTTGTAATCTTTTTGAGGGCTTATTTTGCATTTCATATTTCTATATACACTTTGTTATACTTGTACTATTTTAATAGGTTCCCATTCAATTCAAAGTTGCTGCTGAACTTTTTGCATTTTAAACTACCCCAGTACTAGACATATTTTGTATATTTAAATATACAACTTGCCAGCCTGGATAAATGCAGCTAATAAACTAAGATATAAAATAAATTTTCACTTTCAACCTGTAAACATTATTAACTCAAACTTGCATTGATTTTGTTGGATTTATTTTTTATCATTATCAATTATATTATATATGTTTATACATCCATTTCATAATGGAGACCTCAAGGGGGTTAGTTGGAACCACACCATGAAGAGGTTTAACTGCTCTCCATGCAGGCCCTCAAACTGTAGCTGCAATGTTTTCACAACACAGCACTAACGCAATGCAGCATTCTGCCATGAATGCCTCTATGTGTTTAACCAACAATAAAAAAAGAAAAGCAAGTATTGTTCATTTATCCCCTGTGAATCAGGAAAGAAGACGTTTGGAACATTTGAGCAACTTTTTAAACAACCTTTGCCTTGAAGGAATTCCCATTGACAGCTCTTAAGGCATTTAAGGAAGAACAATCTGACTTCATGCTTGGTCTATGATGGCAGAGAATTTGACAGAAAAAAGCTTATTTCTAATAATTCACCACATGTAACAGTTGCAACTGAGGACTACGCCATGTGGTTCCTAACACATGAACATTACAGTGGTACAGGTAAGAGTAAGTCTGTTTACCAGAAATATGATTGATCAGGCCAGTGTTTGAATCCATTTTCAGTGGCATGAGTTGACTAAGAGTATTCTAGGATGAGAGGCCCCAATATTCATATTAATTTACATGTCTTGGTAACTGCTGTGTCTACATACTGCAGATTGTTCCCTCTTCCCTGATGTCAATTACCAGAGACATTGTTTCTAACAAAAGTAAAATAAAAAAGTAACCTCTAATAAGATATTACAAACAATGTGTTTTTACATCATTTTAATTTTCTTTATGCATGTCCTTTTTCTCTTTTGGTACATGCCATTACCAATCAGATCCTGTAGCAGCATAGCTACTTTTAAAAGATATCTTTAAGCATTTCTTTTTAGGAAAGCATACAGTACTAGTTTATAATACCTGATGCAATGCAAAGCAATGTTGAATATGTGCATAGTTTTAAAAGCTGTATAAATGTTTATTATTACAATTATAAAACATTCTAGATAAATTCAACTTTAGTTTTTGAAATGTTGATTTATTTTGATTCTGGCTATCTGCAGCCAGACACTTCTTACAATAAAAACAGTTTCAAAGCTTTAGTTTTAATTTTAAGTTGCTATAAGATAGGCCATTATTTTACCTTTCTTGTTCCTTAGTAAGTTAAACACAGAACCCATAGGATGAGAAGTTGATGAATATTCACATGTAATTATTATTAAACCCAAGTAGACACATTTGTAACAAGTCATTTCCATGGGTCATGAAAATGATCTCATTATGAAATCAGTGTTAGATTAACCACTGACCAATTTTCAAGACCCATGAATTTATCATCTCATGAAATTTCCTGGGCTTTGGCATACCTTAGTAAGGATTTCACTGTCCCTGTTGATGTTGTTAGGGTACAGTTTAATGTGGATTGCCTCTTTCACCCTGCATGGGCAGA